GTTTGAGAACCCTCCTTATTATTACAAGTCACCACCTCCATCATCATTTTCTCGTCCAGCTTGGCTAATTAATCGGGGGGATAGACATTCCTAGAGTACAAAAATTAAACTACTATTCAACATATGCATTAGAGAAGTTTCACGTCTTAGTTTTACTTTCTTGACCTGACAACTACCCGTGAACAAATAGGGCAAAAATTAATCATTTTGCTTATATATTACTATTGAATCCCCTTGACATAATGGATGGAAAGTTATAGCAAAATGCAAAATGGGGTTTATAGGGGGGAAAGGAGGGAATTATACCTCTCAATTTTACGATTTGAGCGGATAGACTCCTCATTAAATAAAAAGGTGCATATATACCTTCGTCGTCTTATAAATAATGCATACTAACACATGACCTAAATTTACAACATTAAAAGAAATCCTAAAAATAATTTTTAAATTTCAAACCTAAAAATTACCTCACCCATTTTTTTTTACCCTCTGGACCCAACCCAACCCAACTGAAAAAACAAATCCCTCTTTTATTTGGTCACTACACCCCCAATGACTTAGAATATCAGGATTTTTCGAGGGATTGAATTATTTTTTTAGTTAGGTTGGGTTCGGCGGGATAAAAAAAAAAAATTGGTGACGTAATTTTTTAAAGTCATGTGACATTTTTTAAATTAAAAAAAAAAACATTTTAGGATATATGTTTTTCTTTAATTCGGTAGATATAGGCATGTTAATGAAAAGGGTAAATGTGCATCATTTGTCAGATGTAGAAAGTATATATGCAACACTTTTTAACAAAGATATATCTGCTCATAAAATTAAAGAATATATATTTTTTCCTTTTCTTGTAATTATAATTTTTTTTGGCTCCACCACTTATCTTCTTCCGTAACTTATTCAAAACAATAAAGAGAAGGAAGTTAAGGTTTCTAATCAATAAGTCTTGGAATTGTATTGGACATAAATATTGGAAAATCATGTAGGCCATAATTTCTTTAAGTAAACATGTGCAGGATCACATGTTAGCAAGTTTGTCAACCTTTTGCAATTGGATACATCATCATGACAAGAATATATAGCTGGAAGTTAATTTGATATTATTATAGTAGATTAGAACCTCACATAAATTGAAAATTTTATTTGTGGTCTGTTTATATGAATTTGGACAATAATTTTTTCTTATGAGTTAATTTTTTGAGGTTGAGTTAGATCCAAGTACCATATCTTTACATGATATCAGAGTCAAACTCATTTCTAATTGGGTCCACATGTTATATTGTCCATACGCCAGTTAGTGTTGGGCGTGAAAGGAGGTTTTAGAGTAGGTCAGAGTCCCACATTGATTGGAAAATGAATTAATGGTATGTGTGTATGGATCTGACCAATCCTCCCCTCATGAGTTAAGTTTCGTTGCTGAGTTAGCATCATGTATCATATTTTTACATTGAATCAGAGTCAAGTCCTTTTATGTTTGGATTCTCATATTATATTGTTCACACTCCACATTTCATATCGTGAATGGAGAATGTTAGAGTGGGTTAGAGTCCTACGTTAGCTAAAGGTGAATGAAATTATGATTTGTTATGAACTTGAACAACCTTTTCCTCGTGAGCAATTAAATTGTTACGTTGAGTTAGGTCTAAGTGCTAACTAAGAATTGAGAAGCAATTTTGGCTAAAAATTAAGAAGTGGTAGATTGTCAAATATCAAAACTTTCTACCTACTATGTATCTCCAACATATGTTATGTTTAAGGTAGCAGCACAGGACAAATTAGCCAGCTCCTAAATATAGGTTTTTGCCTCATACTAGCTAGATATTGTGTCTCTTTCTTTATTGGATTGTTCTTTGGTGACCATTCATTCCTCTTTAAGTCTCATCAATCAATTAGCCAATATACACCCTTATACATCAATATACAATATTTATATACTTATTTGAACAATGAATCACCTTTTATGAAAATGTATAATATTGTTTAAAAATGTATATGTCTTGTATTATAAAGTATAGAACACATTGCTAGCTACATAATAAGCTTCTTTTTTTTTACAATTTTCGATTGCAATTCTTGTTCAAAACTTCAAATTTCGTAGACAACCTCCTTAGGCTATTTTCAACCGGAAAGGACTATATGTACTTATTGGTTTGGTCAAATATCAAATCTTGCTACCTACTATCCCAACATTTGCCAAATTTAAGGTAACATTATCCTTCTTTTTTTTTTCTTTTTTTGAATAATTGGATTAGCCTTTAAACGTTTATTTCATTTTATTTTTTTGGTTCTTTATCTCTTATAAATGATGTAATTGAAATTCTGATTCAAATAATTTCTGAAACCTTATCTATTACGTTAACCATTCAGATCGAATTTGGTATGAAGAAATAAGTCGTAATCCAAGGCAATAGATACATGCGTGATCAATTATCCCTTGTTCTTAGTGCATAGTGTAATTTGAAATGACTCAAGTCAAATTGGTGCAACATGTTTTTATAAATAGTTGGATCGCGAGTTCACTGTTTACATTTCTCATTTGATATACATAAATTATACATTGATGATATATGATTAAACACGTATTTTATATATAAGTATTATATAGGTTAATTCTTTTTTTTTTTTGTTTTATTTTTTGTTTCTTCACTTAACTCTAATAAAGAATAGTATATTTCCTGTATTTTAATTAATTTTCAAAATTATGTGCTCTCCATCTTTTAAAACGTACATAACATCAGCATGTCACCTCTCCAGGCCCAATTACGTACGTATTGGGCCTATGGGCTCCATTATTTGTCTCCCATGCCCCTTGCTCTCCTACTTCTATGAGAGGGTTTTATCGAAAACATCGAGAATTATTATAATAATCTATGAGTTTTAAATAATTGGATGACATGGTTTACGGAATTATTATAATAATCTATGAGTTTTGTGAGTTTTAAGTTCAATGAGGATTGTAGTTCTTTCTACTTCTCGAGGTATGATGATTGACCATAGGATCGACTAAAAGGAATAGGTGGAGATATTTCGTGTTATATCTGATTATCCTCTATAATATCCAAATTGGATTCAGAACTTCCTATTTGTGAAAAATAAAAAGGGGATTACATTGTATGATGTATTTCTTATTCGTTGATACCTCAAGAGAACCTTAAGAACAAAAATGGAGTCAAAATTTTTAATTACGAGGAGTTTTAACATTTTTTTACTAGTCGGATACAAAAAATATTCCTAATGATGTGAATTTTATTTATTTATTTGAAAAATCATGTGAATTTAGTTTTAAAAAATAATATCATATCATATTAAAAATATTTTTGAACCGACTTAACTAGGCACTTACAACTCCATATTGCTTCAATGTTGAAGAGTGCATGGCACTATGACATCATTGGCTTGACCTAAAATCTAATAATTGAGTGATAATAATGTATGTAAAGATATGTATTACTCCCTCTGTCTCTTTTTAATTGTTCAATTTTAACTTTTTATTTGTCATTTTTGACAAATTAAGAAAAGACTATTTTTTTATTATTATGGTTTTAATCTATTTAGAGAGTTACTGTTTTAAAAAAAAGTAGACCTCTTTAATGAGTAAATTGATTTTGAAATTTATCAATTAATTGAGGTAAAATAATAAACTCACTGTGTCAATTTTTTTTAAAATATGTATACCAAATTAAAAATGGATAAGTAAATATGAACAGAGTGAGTAGATTGGTGTAATCATGAATTTGTATATATTTTTTGGAAAATTGGGATTTCAAGAACATAATTGGCACTTTCAAGAATAAATGAAATTGGTAATGATGACTATGAAGAAAAATTTACATTTTTCAATCCATAGAAATCCAATGAACTAGTAGTCCTCCGTTTCTAAATAAGTGATATTTGTAATTTTGATATAGCATTTAAAAAATTACTCATTCCAAAAAAATAAGAAGTGTTTTTATTAATTTATTCTAAATTCAATATTTATAGTATGATTTAATATTTGTAAACTAAAAATTCTGACTTTGTCTTAATAAGATCTTACATTTTTTTGGAAAATTGAGATTTCAAGAACATAATTGGCACTTTCAAGAATAAATGATATTGGTAATGACTAATTAGGATGACTTTGAACTTGTATTATTAACCAGACATGTAATCACAAAAGAGTGTGATGAAAAGAAATAAATATTCCTATTTATGGGAAATCCAATGAAGTATGTTTAAGCCCATATTTAAGAATCTCGACAACCCATACTTGCTTAGAGGGTGTGGAATCACTTTACAAAAGAAAAAAAAAATCAAATATCATTATGATGATGAGGCTATACTACTTTCTCAAATATTGTGTTTTCTTTTTTCTTTTTCACCTGATACCTGGTATCTACATTGAAATTTAATTAATTTGAATCGTGATGGATAAGGCCTTATTTGAGGGTACCACTCCCTATCAAAGCTTCTTCTTTTTTCTTATAAGGGCTTGAATCTGAAAACCCTAATTAAAGGAGGAATAGCCCCATCTACTGCACCACATCCTTTGATGATGGATAAAACTATTTTTAGCCAATCTAGATTCATATGCTAATTTTTAATATACTTGATAAGTAAAAACGAATGAATGAAATATTTAGGAATCTTGGTATAAATAATTAAGCAAATTTATTGTTTACTTTTTCTTAATTTGTATACATAGATTATTCACCAACTAATATACATGGTTATACATTATACAAAATTATACACACATTATAAATAAATTATACATATATTATATATTCATCGGCTATTTTTAATTTAATAGATTTGATATGTACCTAAATTATACATTTTTTGGAAATTTGATATTTCAAAGAAAACAAGTGGCACTTTTCAAGAATAAATGACATTGGTATTAAAGATGACTTTGAACTTGTATTATTAACAAGATATAAGTAATTACAAAGAATATAATAAAGAAGAAAAAGAAGATAACTTGATACATAAAACATTTCATGTTAGCAAGATTTGAGAAAGAATCACACTTTAAGAGATGTGATATAAACAATCTATCTTAATACAAACATATTAATAATTGTTTTCACTGCTCGAACTCGTAACGGAACTTCATGAACAAAAAAAAAAAAACAAAAAATCATTATAGTGATGATGATGATGATGAGGCTATAATACTTTCTCAAATAGGACCAACCTATTATCAGCCAATCTAGATTTATATGCTGAATTTTTGTACTCAAACCATGTAAATTCTTTGTACAAGCTGTCTTGATCCCCTTTTATTAATAGTGATGACAATGGTGCTATCTTTTCACTCAATGGTGGCCCTCCAAAATAAATCATTGAGAGTCTTGATTTTACACTATTGGCCAAAACTCTATGTTTTACACTCTTAAACCTCCCATTTGTCATCACCTGCAAAAAAAATAAAAAAAATTAACTCCCATTACTAAAATTTACACTACAATAATAAAATTGTCTAGTGTAATATTTTGATATTTGGTATGATATTTGATTACTAGTAATTAATTCATAACAAGTGTTACTATGGTATGTACTTCTTTAACATGGTATATTCTTTCCATATTGTTTTTGTTGTAATAAGTGTTAGTAGTACCTTAAAAAGAATGCAGGTTACTTGATATAACATGTCAAAATACGTTATAGTGTGTAAGTTTTTTCCACTCTTTTGTACTCTCAATATTAGCAAGGGAGGATATTTCGATTAATCCCCCCCCCCCCCCCCACCCCCAAACCAAAACCCCCATGGCATTAATTTGGAGTACAAAAAATCTAATGAAAAAGACACAATCAAACCTAGGATAAATCTTGTCTATCTTTCTATTATCTTCACCCCCCAACAACTATGCAATGAGTGAAAAAATACAAGGAAAATAAAAACTACAAGACCCCACCAAAATTTATGATAAGATAGGTAAAGATTTGTTTAGTCAGATATTTCATATTCGAATTTTAAGAATTAAAAAAAAATTCTAACAAGGAGTGTTGTCCCTTTTACTGAACCTTATGCAATGTGGAATTTGAACTAGTTAGGATTCCAAAATAGGTATCAGACATCGAAAAAGATAGAAGCTTTCACTATTTATTTATTTTTATAAAAAGACAACATAATACATAGACATTTTAATTTGGTCTCAATCGGCTTCTACACATTTCAATCTTGATAATGCACATCTAGACATCTCAATTCGTCCTTACTATATGTCTGGACACCTAATACTGATATGATACATAAATTTTAGAGATGTTAAAATGAAAATATTTAACTGACAGAATGTAAACGAGTTGAGGTATTTAAATATGCATCCTCAAAAGTTGAAGTACTGTTTAATTATCAGTTGAGACCAAGTTAAGATGTCTATCTATTTATTATTATACGATATGAATTTGAATTAGTTAGGCTATAAAGCGAGTATCGGAAATAGAGCATTATACCTGCAATGAATCACCAACATTGATGAAGAATGAATTTTGATCAGGTGGGACAGAAATCCAATGGCCATCAACAAGTGAAATTTGAAGTCCAGAAGTGTTATTGGATCTTAATAAAGAAATAATTTGTGGATCAGTATGTTCACCAAATCCAATTAAATTTCTTCCATTATATTCTTGAAATTCATCAGGACATGGAGGGTAATGATTTAGCCTGAAAAGTGAGTCACTTTTTTCATCCATTAAAAGCTTACTAAATACATTCTTTGGATGAATTTTTAATCCCTCAGCTAACATTTCAAGAATCTCACAAGCCATTTTCTTCATTGCTAATACATAATCATTCACAGCATCTCTACAATAAGATAAGAAAACAAAAAATGAGAAAAAATTTCGAACAGAAGTCAAGAAATTTTATTAAAGGTGTTATATATATATATATATAACACGTAATATTTGACTTATATATACTGTATATAATTTTGTGGCAAAGGATATTCAACTGATCATCCTATAGGTTCACTCCCTGATGAAATACTTGGAATATTTTCCTCTTTAACTAAAGATTTCGAGTTTGAATAAGAATGAAAAAACTAGATGAAAGATAAGTTTACCACTTAACGAGCTCTACTCGCATGCGTGGATCCCATAACAATGGTCAAACTTTATACTTGTGTTAAAATTCATTTAATATATACAAATAATCTTTTCAAAACTCAATAAATAAAAAAATCGTGGTCCAAAACTCATAAACTAAATATCATGATCCCCCTCATACTATAACTCCACCGCGGAGGAGTGACTAGAATATACCCCACCCCACCCCAACCCCACCCACCCCAAATTAAAAGTTTCGAATTTGAACCAAAAGAGTATGTTACACCTTAACGGGCCCTACTCTAATTAGTCATCCTAGAATGCAGAACTCATAATATTTAAATTTTGACTCAACAAAAATAAAAAGAAAGAAGTAAACTTATTTGTATAATATCTTACCTTATATCTTTTGGATTGACACCCAAAATAGATGCAAATTTTTGGTAATTGAACTCAGAATTTGTTGACAAAAGAATGTATTCAACCCAACCAACATCACCATTAGGTCCAATTTTCTTATTTCCATAGCCAAAAGGGTCAAGGGGTCCTGTTTTTTCTTTTTGAGACATAGGAGATGAAAAGAATTTTATTGCTTCTAATTCAAGTTTTGTAATAAATTCCATAGGGACACCATGATTTACAACTTTAAAGAAACCAAATTCTTCACAAGCTTTAACAAGTTGATTCTTGCTTTCTGGTTTTGAAATATCAATTAGTGGAATATTACAAGGGAAAAATGATGAAGGGGATTTGTAATTCTTGATTAATTGTTCATTAACTACTTGCCTAGACAAGACCACCATGGTGAAATTTTGTGGAAATTAAAGAGATTTGGTTCTTGAAAAGTTTTTTTTTTGTGTGTGTGGGGGTGGGGGGTGAGGTAGTAAAGAAATATATGTGAAGAAGTGTACACTTGGCTACAAGGAGTGTTTTGCTATTTATAGAGAATTTTTTTTTGGAGTTCAATCATGGCTTGCCAAGTGGTAAGGCCTAGGTGGGAACAAAGATGGGCTCAAGATCCTTCCTATAAAAAAGGTAAAAATTAGGCAAATGACATAGTATAAGAAAGAAATTACTTCCTTTCTCTACTCTTTCATTAATTACCAAAAATCTCTTTTTTTAGTGTTTTTCGGATACATAATATAGCAGTGTGGATACTTAATATAGCAGCGCGGATACTTTAATTAATAACGGGCAGATACTTGAATTATTAAGTTGTTAGCAGCACAGATACTTAATTAACGGGCGGATACATAATATAGCAGCGCGGATACTTTAATTAATAACGGGCAGATACTTAAACTAATAAAGTATCCGGTTAAGTTGAATTGGGGGAAAATAAGGGATTTTTGTATTTTAGTAAAAGAGTAGGGAAATATTGAGAATAGGTAAAGAAGTGTTGTGTATTTAAGTAATTTTTCCATAAAAAAGTTAAAATAGGGTACTGTCAAAATGGAAATAAAAGTTAAAATCAATTATCTTAATCTTTATAAAAAAAGAAAAGGAAATTTGGTTCTTGAATTTCTTTATCATTATGTCACGTTGAGATGCTACATAAAAATAAAAAAAAATAAAAAAAAAGCAAAATCATGTTCAATTTATCATAATCAATAAGTTAATATGTTGATTAATTGTGTTTTAAAATTTAAGCGATCAAACACTCTGTCCAATTTATCAACTCGATTCATTTTAATCCATTAAAATTAAATTCTAATTCATATCCCTATCTTTTTCTAACAAAACCAACTAGTACTGCTACATGAGAATGAATGTAGGATAGTCAAAAAGAACATTGAATGAATGTAGAATAATCAAAAAGAATATTTGTCCTTGTCAAATTGCCGTTATGTTTAATTAAATCAATGTTTTATTAGCATTACTTTATATTTAAAAAAATCATAAATATACGATGGAAAATAATTGAAATAGGTCAACCTAATATGAATACCATGGCTTAAAAAGATTGAATCGCGTAGGATAAATTACTAACTTGATTGATGCTCGATTAAATCTATTTTAAAAAGTTAAAGTGCTCTATATTAGAATATTTTTTATTCTCTGAAACGTAAATTTACACTAGTAGACATGTCATACTTTATTAATTTTGTCACCGAACTTACAATTAGCCTTTTCTTATCATGTGAATTGATTTCATCTGAATTTTAAGAATGGTTTTTTTTTAAAAGAGAGCATTTTCTTTTATAGAATTTTATCTACGTGACGTAAATAAATCAATCGGAGTCGAAAAATGATGTTAAAAATTTTTGAGTAACAAATCTTTATCAAGATGTCGTTGGGTATGAAATCTTAGTGACAAATCAAAGTATGGAATGTCTATTCAAAAAAATTGGGAAAAAAATAATAGAAGATATATGAAGAAATGACTTGGACTTTGAAAGGGAACATACCTTTTTAATATTATTGGTGGGCCATTATTAGAAAAGGAAATAGTTGATTAAAATGTCCAGCTAAAATGACTGAAAATGAAATACTTGATAATATTTTTTGTTTTATTTTTGTAAAATAACTATTTTTAAAATATATATATATATGAAAAAAATATTACATGAAAAAACAATTGAAACTTATTTTATTTTTCCTATTTGATGAAAAATACTTTACTTATAAAGATTTCTAGCAAACAAATACCAAAATTTGATTTATTATGTAAAAAATCATTTTCGTCATACCAAATACATCCTAAAATACAGCCCCAAATATCGTGTAAAAGTTACTTAAAAGAAGAAGTATTTTCCATTCGAATTTTCTCATTTCAATAGCTCTAATCGAAATCTTTTGATTAAGAAAGAAATGTTTTTATCAATCTTAATTAACTATGTTTCAATTCCTTCATAAAGAATTATTTTTTTCTATAAAAAGTCTCAAAATAAGGATATTTTGTCACCTGAATTACATAGAAAAAAAGAGTTTAAGCCGTGTTGGAAATTCTTTACTTTTATTTCCCTGTCTATGTCTCTTTCACCAATTTGACAAAGATACAACAAAATAACTATTTTAATCATTAGAAAAAAAAGTTATCTTATTTACCCTTATTATTAACGGAGTTATAATAATGATGTGAAATAGGTGAAATAAACAAAGTAGATTTTTTCTTCAACTTTTGATTATAGTTAAAATTACCTTAAGAATTAGGAATTACGAAAATTATCACATTATCATCGGTTAGGTGATTGGTTGACTCAATTAAATTTCTCAATTTCAAATAGTATTATAATAAAAGATGATATCGATAAAAATAAGATTTTTTTTCAAATGACGAAATCATAATAAAAAAATAAAATAAAACAATATAGATGATGGAGATTGCTCAAGTCAACTAAGACAATATTTTTCACTTTATTTTAAGATGTCATTTTTATTAAGAAAAAAAAAAGAGAAAGAAATGTTAGGGGTTCTAATTTGATTGAAGAATAAGGTGGGGAATCCCCATATATATATATATATATATATATATAGAGAGAGAGAGAGAGAGATAGATAGATAGATGATATCGATAAAAATAAGATTTTTTCAAATGACGAAATCATAATAAAAAAATAAAATAAAACAATATAGATGATGGAGATTGCTCAAGTCAACTAAGACAATATTTTTCACTTTATTTTAAAATGTCATTTTTATTAAGAAAAAGAGAGAGAAAGAAATGTTAGGGGTTCTAATTTGATTGAAGAGTAAGGTGGGGAATCCCCATATATATATATTTATTTATTTTTTTGTAAAAATCCTAATTATACCAAGTAGGCAAGTGTTATAATACTAACTTTTAATATAATTAATATGTGAATTAATAATTTAAGCCTCTTTTGTAAAAAATCCTTATTATTTCAAGTAGGCAAATATCATTACGATACATTATGTGACTTATACATAATTAGTACGTAAACCAGACAACTACTAGCTAATGTCTCTATTCATTCAAACTAGTCACCATGATCTGTAAACATCTTAATTATACCAAGTAGGCAAGTATCATAATGCTATGTCATCTGACTTTTAATATAATCAGTATGTGAATCAAATAATTTCTAATATTTCAAATTTCATATGTAAAATATCCTAATTATGCCAAGTAGGCAAATATCATAACGAACACATAACTAGTACGTGAACCAGACGATTTCTAGCTAATGTCTCTATTCATTCAAACTAACATATATAGAATAGTCATCATCTTGGGCAGCAAATGCAATAACACAAATGTGGACCATCTAGGAGGACAATAATTGGCACAAAAGAAAGAAAATAAATAACACACACGTGTTGAGGAAATAGCCAACAGCTTTTGTGTGTCAAATATAAAACCTAACAAAGGTTTTATCCTGTCGTGGTTCCTTATCATTCGTTTAGTTTTTTATCACTCCGTGTCTCATATCTGTATAGAGGTGAGGTCTGACTAATTAGATGATTTCGTATTGCATAGGACTTATTTAAAGGAAGTGTTTTTAATACAATGACTTTTTTATATGTATATTCAAGATTCAAAATTGATTTTTGATTAAGAAATGAATAGTACCTCTCATATGTCATACCGCATTCTTTAGTAGTCAAGTTGGTTAATTGAATTTTATATATACATATGGCATTGTGAATCTTCTATGTAAAAGAATTTTCACATTAATTGAAACTCTGCACCATATATACATTACATACACCATTCGTCTCAATTTATGCTATCGTCGTTGGCGACGGAGCATGTTCGTACTACTCAACGTGGAACATTTTACTTCTCAAAATAGGTTTATGCAAATCTTGTTGTCTATTCCAATTTAGCTCATACAATAAAGAACTATTAATTGTATTATAATGCAAGTGTCCTTTTGATACGTCTTTATCGACCCCCTTTCAATATTTAATTCAACTATGAAAATGATTTATGAGACAAATGGTCCCATATATATATGAGGATATTTTTATATATAGGACTTGCATATAATTAGGTTCTTTATTATGAAAGGTATATGCTACCATCCTTACTTCCTTTAATGTTATGTACAATCACATTTTTTTATAACAATACTATTTATATCGATATATTTTGGTTATAATTTAGTGAAATGTTATTATTTAGAGTAGGAGTAAAGTCAGGTAGAGTTAAGGGAGTTCGGCAGAATATTACATTGTTTATATATACATGATTGAATTTTTTAATTTTTTATATATATAATAGATGTTGAAACCCCCTTCAATATCTTCGTATACTCAATTCTTCATATTTTGAACTTCTTAATGAAAAATACTGACTTCGTCTTTTAGAAAATATATAATATAACATAACATAAAAAATCGACTGTGTTACACATATATAAACATGACAAAGAGGTCTCTCGGTATATTATATATGATACTTACTTTTTTTCTTAACAATATATTTTATACGTTGTATATATCTTTACTTGAAAATGAATTGTTGGTTAAATTCATGATATTTTTTCCCAAAATGCATCATATCTTCTTCTTCTTCTTCTTTCTACACTACTAAAAAAATGCTTAAAATCTTATGATAAAAATCGATGGATAAAACGACGGATTTTATGGTTTTTCAAAAATTAATAAATAAATTAGAAAACCGACGGACTTAAAGAAAATCGAAGAGCATCCTTTGTTTATTTTTTTGTGTGAAATAAATACAAAAAATAATTGAAGTATTTAATCAAAAAGCATATGTGATCGAGTAATAGAATCGTTCTCAACGTGGAACATTTTAGTTCTCAAAAATAGCTTTTCAAATCTTTGTTTTTTGCTCTAAAATTAGTTCTTACACTAGTTATATACGAGGATCTTTTTATATATAGGACTTGCATATAATTGGGTTCTTTATTACGAAA